GGGTAGTAAATCCTGATCGGTACAGCTATAATCAAATGTTAAAAGGATTGTGCAAAGCTCATCAATTGGACAGGGCATTTGGTTTTGTTTCAGATCATATGGAGGTTGGTGGGTTCTGTGATATTGTATCTTGTAACATACTGATTGACGCATTTTGCAAGGCAAAGAAAGTAACTTCTGCATTGAAGCTGTTCAAAGAAATGGGTTATAAGGGAATACAAGCAGATGCAGTGACATATGGAACTCTAATTAATGGTCTCTACGGTGTAGGATACTACAACCTAGCTGAAGAAATTTTTGAGCAGATGCTGAAAGCTCAGGTTGTTCCAAATGTTAATCTGTATAATATTATGCTCCATAACCTCTGTAAAGCTGGTCAGTTTGAACAGGCTCAGAAAATTTTCTTGCAGATGATTAAGAAGGAAGTGTCGCCAGATATTATTACTTTTAACACGCTCATATATTGGCTCGGGAAAAGCTCAAGGGCAATTGAAGCTGTTGATCTGTTCAGGGATATGAGGGCTAGAGGGGTAGAACCTGATAGCTTGACATTTAGGTATTTGATCAATGGCCTCCTAGAGGAGGGGAAAGCTACACTGGCTTATGAGGTATGGGAATATATGATGGAGAATGGCATAATTCTCGACAGAGATGTTTCTGACAGGCTGATAAGTATGCTTAAATCAAAGAACAAGTAACAACTGACTGAGTTTCTTGAGAGTTTCAGCCTCTAGGACATTTTACTCATGTCATTAGAGCTCAAAGGTCTGAGCTTGTTTAGTTGCTTCTAAGCTCGTTGCTGTGCCGGTACTGCGGAACACATCTTTGCTGATTAACTCGATTTGATGGATGCATTATAGCTGGACCTGGACCAGACCCAAAAGCAGACACACCAGAGAAACAGTGGACAAGGTACTTCTCTTTTGACCTTCTGCTGTATCATGCTAGCTTTATAGTATTATGTAAGCACTACTGCACTAGGTGTTTACTTCTTAAAGCCATGCCACTGTAGTTGAGCAAGTCTCTCAAGAAATGTTGATACCAGGGTAGATGATGTATAGCAGCTAGACCAAGATAATCATCACTGTGGTACATGAGAATCGTGCCTTGTGCTAGCTGAAGGCATGACCTGATGGAATTCAACTGAACAATATTGCATCCCATGCGGGTCCTTTTCTGTTTCGGGGTTACTATTTATATTAGTTGTTTTATGCTTGATTTGAATGTAGTTAAACATCCATGTGCATCCTACATAAATTCTACCAAATTTGCAGGCATCGTCTTCAGTACTTTGACACCAAAGCATGATTGTGTGGTTAAAGTCTCAACTATGTCATGACAAATATTCTGAGGTGGCATACTTCAGCATAGATAAGGCAATGTTAGGTACACCTTCACTTTCTCTGGCAAGATTCATTGCATTTTTTTTTCCTTCAAATGAAATCATCTGCATGCTGTAGTTGAATATTGTCAACATCATTCATCTCCCAGACTCCTAGTGAAATGCCACCCCAGTGCAGCAATAGAGAACATGATCAAAATCTTTTCTGTGAGCACATGACTTGGCCATTTGTATCTCTGCAACCGGTTCTGGGGACATCATCCCTCTCGTTGCTGGAAATGAGCATATAAATGGTGAGAGCAAGCAGATCCTGATATCCATGGACTGCAAACAACGTTCAATTAACAGGGGAAAGGACACGAAGAGAAAGAGGAGCATGCAGAGTAACATGGATTGAATAATGATGTGACAAGTACTCCTACCAAAGATGCAATGTATAGACATCTACAGAGGAGGAGACATTCAACAGTTTTTCCTTCCCAAAATTTCGTCTCCCCTGCCCTCCTCAACAACTATCCGTCACAATGTCACAATACTTCTCCCGTCTAGTATCACCAAAACAAGACCACTTTAGTTTAACGGTTTAACCAAACAAAATATAGACTTTGAACCAAAACCCAATAAATTAATGAATTAAACCAAAAGGTTTCTTCTCTCTTGTATCACGCTGAGATGAACTATAGTAGATCATTTAACTGTAGGACCCAGGCGACTAGCGATGACCTCTCACTAGCTAGTTTTCTTCACCTTTGATATATAAAGGACTAAAGGAGCTTCTTCTTGGATGCTGGGTTGTTGACAGTTAGCACAAGTTTGCCGGCTTGCCTACTCTGAAGCTTCCATCATGATCGGTTCTTGTTAGCGGGCACCTTCCTTGTCTTCTGCACAATTAGTGGTAGCAGAGATAAAAATATGGTGGTACCATTACTATATTTTTTATTAAATATACAGAAGGCAACAATTACACAGGCGAGGGTAAGGCTTGCCACTGACACCCTTCCCCAGACCCCGTACAGAGCAGGAGCTCTCTGCATTGGGTACGCCACTGTTACAGAAGCCAACAATTTCTGTACATCAGAAGCAGAGCATGTCAGTAGAGTATGAAAGTATTTTGCAAAATGCTAACCACATATGTCAGTGGAGTATGAAAGGAAGTTTGTCAATGAATGGCGCTACCATTAACTGAAAATTAGATGATCATTAAGCATTTATTTTTTAGTTATTAGAAACAAAGGTATTTCGAAACTTTTAATTCACTGAACATGTACAAAGCGTTTTTACATGGGAAATCAGGATGTTAACCATGTCTATGTCCATATTCACTATTTACACCTTAGTTATTAAAGTCTTAGAATAACTATATGCATGATTCAGAGTGAATTAGTAATAGCTAATAACCAGTGAACAAGAAATGAGCTCAACAGATTTACATAAGTATATATGAATGCATATCAGCCTCTGTACTTCCTACCTATCTCACTCGGTTTTTATCCATTTTGGTTGTACAGGTGCTTTTCCTAATCATGTAGTGGGTCCTTGGCTTCTATACTTGCACATTTCAGTTTCTATCCATTCTTCAAGTTTGTTGGCAATGTACCATTGATTCTGTTGTTCGAAATCCAAATCCTTAGCATTCAAAAAGCTAGTAGGAAACCAATGGGGAATCAGATCAGATATAGATGTGCTTGATATAATATATACTGTATATAGCACTTGAATGTCAGTATGTGACTGAAGACAGGAGGGAAACAGAGGACCCATGTGGCAAGATTTAAAAGATGTGGGGCAACCAGTCTGGATGTACCTCAATCTTCAAGGAATTTCTTGTAGATTTTTCTGATGGCTGTAGCCAAATGCTATCAGAAATTGACATATTCAATTTTTCTGGCCTGGAATACATTATCATGGATGGGTCGTGAGATGGATTGGTTTCTGACATGTATTCAGGCGCTGAGATGTACCTGACAGCTTTTGTGACTGCTATAAACTCTTGAAACAGGTGACACCTCAGGCTAAAACAGGTGTTGCAGGCTTCCGTCCAGCAAAACACGCAAGGGCGGGGGCGGGTTCGCTTATTAAATTTCTGATAATCTGATCACCAGTTTTGATAGTACTATGAGTTTGTAGCTGACCGGCCGCTGGTAACTTGTTTGGATTTGGTTGTTAGATTTTGGTCCTTTACAACAGCCGGATTTTGATAATCTGATCACCAGTTTTGATAGTACGATTAGTTTGTAGTGGGTAACTGGCAAGGGAAATTTAGTCTGTAAGCCTATCCATGTTGTATCTGTTGTACAGTATCTTGTAAACATTAACACATCGCCACATGATTGGATGAAACACTTTTGCAGGGTTTTCCCTCCATCTTATGTTCTTGTGCGATGTCAGGAACGGCATGGCTGACCGAGTGCTCGGTACCTCCCCTCTGGGGTGGGTCAGAGTTGAGTCATAAGAGACTCACTTTTTATTTGTGGCTTCGACCGTAGTGATCAGGGAGAAAAAAAAAACTCCCTCGTTTGCTCCACATCCAAAGCATATGTTTGTGGCCAGCTCATCCCACGTAGCTACGGTGTATAGGTGGGGTAGAGGTTCGAGGGTTTTTTCGCCCCGGGGCATTCTTCTTAAGTCAGAATACTAGGGTTGTCTAGTTAACGTGGATTGAGTTTTTTTTTTCGATGTCTGATGCTTTAATTCTCGAGTCATCTTGCTTGGCAAACTCTGTACAGTCGGAGCACAGCCTTTATCCAGTAATGGCAGAGTGGGCCCATGAACGAGACGGGCCAAGGCCTAGATCCGTTGTTGCTGTTCGCGCTCTTTAGCGGTACTTTTCAGCGAAGGAACTTTGTTTTTCTCTCACAAGGAATCGGTAGCAGCTAAATTTCAGCGAAACGAACGGGGCTATTTTTGGCAAATATTTTTTTCCTCACATATATGTGCATAGTTTTAAAGTCCGCCAGAGTTTCCCTTTTTTAGTATTTTATTTCATGTATGTAATTTTGCATTCCACTTTGGAAGAATGACCGTAGTACCTAGGTGGCAACAAACCTCGAGATGTAATAAAGTGATATTTTTGGAATAGCTATTCAGGAGAAATCTTGAAAGGGGCCTTATATGTTCACTCTTCTCATGGGTATTGTGTGCCAAAGATTTCATGCTCCTAATCGTGTATTTCATCACCGGGTTATGGGTTACTTTGCAGGATGGTAAAATGTTTCATGGTTTGATCTATCCCATTCTATCATTGACATGACTTTAATTTATAATGGCTAGCCCATTTCTTGATGGTATTTGAAAATTAAGCATTATATGTTCTTGCTTTATAATGGCATGCCCCTTCTTGATGGTGTTTGATGAAGTGAGTTATTAACAATGTTGTCAGCCCACTAAGGTCAGGCCGAGGCCCACTTGTTCGTGCAAGCGCAGCCCTGGGCCCAACAGATCACGGCCCATCCATGCCCGGCAACAAGCGCCGTCTCGGCATGTCTCCAGAGGACTAGAAGAACTCTCCTGATCCCAACCCGCACTCGCCCAAAACCCTACTGCTCCCGCTCCGCTCCGCCCCTCCTTGGCCTGGCCGTGTGGTTCCTAACACTAACGCCACCTCGCCGCCGCCGCTGGCGAGATCTCCGGGTGGAGCAAGCGAGGCAAGGCAGCAGCCATGTCGATCCGCGTGCTGAACCCTAACGCCCAGGTGCTCAACAAGTCGGAGGCGCTGCACATGACCATCAACGCCGCCAAGGGCCTCCAGGACGTGCTCAAGACCAACCTCGGCCCCAAGGGCACCATCAAGATGTAACCTTCCGGTCCCTCCTCTTCCCTCTCATCCCGCCGCCGCCAGCTCACCTTCTGGTAGATTCGCTGGGCCGTAGGGTTTGGTCCTTTATTTTTCGTGCGGCGGTATGGGTATAGGTTTCGTGGCGTAGCTGTTCACTTGTAGATTGAGATGTATAGTCTCCCCTTTGTTTTTTGCTTCTCGTTTGGCTGGCTCCGCGTGATCTAAATTGCGCGTGTCGATTTCTGCTTGGATCTCCATTTGGCAGTGCATTTGCTTATTTGTAACAAATTGCCCGTTTGCTGGTTTTAGCTGTTCAGATTTATAGCGGAAAGTTAATCTGATTTTAGCAAAGGTTGCTTAGAATTTGTTGGCGTTTGGTTTGTGCTGCTCAGGCTTGTGGGCGGAGCTGGTGACCTGAAGCTGACTAAGGATGGGAACACCCTCTTGAAGGAAATGGTATGGCACTACCTTTCACAGAAACATTCTATTGACATCCTGATGATATTTGTACTTGGTGCTGTTTTTCTTTGATTTGATGTCTTGTGTCATTTATTTGCAGCAAATTCAGAACCCAACTGCAATCATGATTGCGAGGACGGCTGTGGCACAGGATGACACAAGTGGTGATGGCACAACATCCACTGTGCTTTTTATTGGGGAGTTAATGAAGCAGTCTGAGCGGTGCATAGATGAAGGTATTTTGTTAATTTGTTCTAGGAACATGTCTAATCTTCCCTGGGTTGGTGTATTGATTTCATTTTGTGGTTTCTGAAACTTCTTTTACTGTATTTGAGATATCATGTTGGCATTTAGGAAATCCGTGTACAACCATATTTATACCTATATAAGTTGATTCTCTATAGACACTATACAATTATGTCAGATGTAGCTGCCATTTGGCTGTAAGAATTTGGACTTGATGTTAATCTTTCTGGATATTATTTTACTGTGTATTGTGGTTTGGAATTCCTGAAGTGAAGCGTCATTTCATTGAATTAAGTCTAAGAATGGGTGTGCAGCGTGAGTCTTTATCTCATCTCATCATATATAAAAGGAATTTCCTTTCTGGGTGAAGCACTGCTAATGGTTTAGGGATATCACATGATTCTCGTATCGCATGTGATGATTCATGACACCCCATTAATAATATTTTGATCTTGGCAGTCAGTATCCTTGTTTAAAGGTAGAGAGCAACACAAACAGTCTTGATTAAGCATTCTCTTTTCTTGTAAACCTGAAGGTATGCTGAGAAGTTCTTGTGCAGCTCCATTGTGTTTAGGGAACATTAGTAATATGTATACCAGGCTTACATGGGTTATTACATAAGTTAGCAAAAATAATAATATTCTAGAAAGTCAAGGTTCTACATATTGCAGTAGGCGAGCTGTCCTTTTGGACGAAGCCTTTTTTTTTTGTAATAAGCTATTTTCTATAATTATATTGTAACCAATTATTATTCTTGTAGGTACTCATCCAAGATTCTTGGTTGATGGTTTTGATGTTGCTAAGAGAGCATGTCTTGATTTTCTCGAAAAGTTCAAGACACCAGTCGTTACTGGTGAAGAACCTGACAGAGATACCTTGAAAATGATAGCAAGAACAACTCTTAGGACAAAGGTATTACGGTCTTTCATCTGCCATGTCAGAAGAAATTTACCTGTGTGCCACTCAAGTTTTACATGGACTTATTATTGTTGGAGGTAACAGAGAAATAATCAGCCAGGGCTTACAAACCCAGGCGACTGCTCTTTCATATATAGGAGATAAGTAGCACATTGATTACATTGATGGCTCATTAGAGCATTAACTAAACAGCTAACTGCCTGGGTACTTGCACAGTCACTTGTGCTGCCCAAGGCTTTAATAGCAGAAACATAATTAAGCACAGATAACTAAGTGATAACTGGGAGCAGGACTTAACTTCTACAATTATATTGCAGTTGTATGAAGGATTGGCTGATCAGTTGACGGACATTGTTGTGAATGCAGTACGTTTGATGTCTCTTGTACCTGTGAAACGTTTCTATACCTGTCCATTTTGAAGCATATTTGAATTTCCTGTATAAAACTGTTATAGGTTCTGTGCATCCGCAAACCAGATGAACCAATTGATCTTTTTATGGTGGAAATAATGCACATGCGCCACAAATTCGATGTTGACACCCGCCTGGTACATATTCATTTTTTCATTCCAATATATGGCATTGTGCTAAATTTCATAGTCTCTTTAAAGAATGGCTTTGGATTAACATAGCAATGTAACTTGATAATGGTATATGGAGGGATGTCAAAACTTTACAAATGTGCCATGATATTCTTGTAGGTTGAAGGTCTGGTCCTGGACCACGGTTCTCGTCACCCTGACATGAAGCGCAGGGCAGAGAACTGTTACATCTTGACCTGCAATGTCTCATTAGAATATGAGAAAAGGTGCATACCAGTACAGCAGTGTTATTTTTTTTATGTTTTGGTTTTAGTATTGCTTAAGTAATTATTTGAATTTTGGTGCACCGAATATGTGTGAAAAGGTGTTTGGAGCATTTTTTTATGTGATTATAATAGAGCTATCCTTATTAAGTATCATGATCGCCGCCAGCCATGTTTTTGTTGGATTGGACTGTTAAACTCAAGTGTCCATGCTCCCTTTTATAACTGGTTATGTAAACCTCTATTGTTTTACTCCAACTTCAGCTCTTAATTTTGTTTCTGCTGTGAGCCAAAACTGTAATCAGTAAATTGGGTTCAATATGCTTATAATTATTTTGTGTTTTTTCATGTAGTGGTGAAGCCAACTGTCTTACTGACATGTAAACTTTGCAGTGAAATCAATGCAGGATTTTTTTACTCAAACGCAGAACAAAGGGAGAAGATGGTTGCTGCAGAGAGACGCCAAGTTGATGAACGTGTCAAACGGATTATTGAGTTGAAAAATAAGGTAATTTGTTTTGTGCTTTGTGCCCAGAGTCTAATTTTGCCATATGCTGCATTATAGTGGGTAAAATTGTTCTCATGTTTCCTTGCATGCAGGTTTGTGCTGGAGGTGATAAAAACTTTGTGGTGATCAATCAGAAGGGCATTGACCCTCCATCACTGGATCTCCTTGCTAGAGCGGGGGTAATCTATACTCTGCTCTGACTTCTGCTTGGTGGTTCCATGATCAAAGCTAATTTACAACCTTGAAATGCATTTAGGTTTTCATTTTAGAACGTGGATCTTATGAAGTTAACAGTTGAAATAGGCATTGTATGATTAAACCATGCTCCGAAATGACCATTTATGTGAAAAATAAACAAAAAAAAGGTCCATGTATCAATGTGTCTTTAGTGATCCTTCCTCTGGGAAAAATGCTGAAAGCTGTGCAACCAAACCAGCTCGAACTTTTATTCCAATCTCCATATATTTTGAGGTATGGCAATATACAATGTTTTGACTAGATTCATCTTATTATATTTTTTGTACTTTTTAAATAAATAACAAGATATTAGTGGTCAAAACATTTTGGAGGCTGGTAATGTCTAAAAATGTATTTGTTAGTGGAGAGTAAGCTCTTTGCATGGAAGCTTATTAATAGCATTATCTGTGTTGTTAAATCCATTTTCCTATTTGGGGCATGTGACCTGAAATGATTTTACAGATTATTGCTCTTCGAAGAGCGAAGAGGAGAAACATGGAGAGGCTTGTGCTAGCATGTGGTGGTGAAGCTGTCAATTCCGTTGATGACTTGACTGAAGATTGTCTAGGCTGGGCTGGTCTTGTCTATGAGCATGTTCTTGGAGAAGAAAAGTACACATTTGTGGAGAATGTGAAAAACCCTCGCTCTTGTACTATACTGATTAAAGGTTGGTTTATTCTTCAGAAACAGCATCGTCTTTGTTGATACCCTAATTGAGCTGTGAATTGAATGTCGTTTGACATATTCAGGACCTAATGACCATACCATCGCACAAATCAAGGATGCTGTCCGTGATGGTCTAAGATCTGTTAAGAACACAATTGAGGATGAAGCAGTTGTGCTGGTATGATTTGTAAATTTCTCTGTTGTGGAAGGTAGCAGGAATTAGGAAGAAGACTCTGGCTTTTGCTTTTGGTGTTCATCATTATTGACTCTGATAAAAGTTGATAGTTCTGACTGGAGTTATTGGTAACTTAGTCAACCTTGTGTCTACAATTAGTTTGATTAAACTTGCAACCTGCTTAGTGTCAAGTCCATAATATTACTATTGTACTGACCTTGATCTGCATCATCCTTTTTACTGTCGTGGGCCAACTTGTGTTTTGCTTTAGGCTCTTTATCATTTGCTTTGGTTTCAGTTGAGCAGACAGCCATTGACTTTTGCGAGTGTAGGGTGCTGGTGCTTTTGAGGTTGCGGCAAAGAAGCATCTTATTGACAACGTGAAGAAAACCGTCAAAGGAGTAAGTGCACTAAAACATTGGTAATGCTTTACATTTACTGCTGCAATATCAACATGCTGCTAATACTATAATCTTGGCAACAGCGAGCACAACTTGGGGTGGAGGCGTTTGCGGAAGCTCTTCTTGTTATACCCAAGACTTTAGCTGAAAACTCTGGTTTAGATACCCAAGATGTGATTGTTTCTCTCCAGGTATGTTAAGATATTTGCCCCTTGTTGGTGTTTCACTTTGTTTGAAGTTAAGCCAGGAAGTTCTTGACTATTTGCCTTGTGTTTTCTTAAGAATGAGCATGACCGTGGATTAGTTGTGGGATTGAACCATCACTCTGGGGAACCGATTGATCCCCAGATGGAAGGCATCTTCGATAATTACTCTGTGAAGCGCCAGATCATCAACTCTGGGTATGTGATGAATCTGTCAGTTTTTGTGTTTCTATATTCTTATAGCTATGCTTTCTAAAACATCCTTGATGTGCAAGCTAACGTTTTTTTGGTCTTTGCTGTAGACCCATCATTGCATCCCAATTGCTGCTTGTGGATGAAGTGATCAGGGCAGGCCGCAACATGAGGAAACCAACTTAGAATTTGTTGCCACCTAGCAGAGACTAATTTGTTGTACCTTTTGTTTTTTTGTTTTGTGCCTAATAGTGATCTGGATGATACATTTTTGGCTTGAGTTAGTCCCATTTCACGAAGCAGGTTGCATTCTCTGTCGCTTGTGCTCTGTACCGTTGCTTTAAATTTTGGATTACTGCGTGCTTATATTTCAACATGGGATTTTAGTTTTATCGATGGTCTGAATTTTTCGCGGCATACATTCTACTAGGAACTTGTTGTATGTGATAAACTAGGCTATCACTCCAATTGTGACAATGACCATGTGCATGTAAATCATGTCCACGACCTATGAAACTGGGTGTAAGTGCACTAAGACTGCCTTAGCAATTTACTCTTATCTAGCGAAAATTATCTTCAGTCATGGGACCTTGTATCAGCTTATTCGCTTGTATCAGCTTGTTCGCTTGTTGGTTTCAGTCAGGGCTTATTAGTTAGTCAACGGTATTTTTCTCTTGCAATAAACCAGCATCAGCCGAGCTATGTCTCTATGCATGTGTGTATGCACTGGTAGGCTGGTAGCCATTATCTGCTTACATTTCCTTCCAACTGTTAGTCTCCAGCTGTTGCATGTATACGTTTCAGTCGTTAAGATTGTTTCTCGATCTGTCCCATGAACTGTTGTCTGAATGTGCTTCACTATCGTGGCCTAGCATTAGCTATCCGAATAAATACATGTGCTCCTCAACAATGAATCATTTTTTGGTTTTCCTTGTGTTGTTTCTCTATTCAGTGTCTCACAAGACAAGGGCCAATATATAACTCAAACCTGCCAGATTATCTTAATTATTTCAAATTTGAAAATCCAAGCCATTTGCATAGCCACCATACGCATACGACGCATAAACGATTAAACGTTGCGCGCAGCGTGACGTCCTAGTTTATATATGTATGTACTTACACTCATCTTCGTAAAGGCACATACATATCTAACCCATGAACATTTTTGAAAAAACTAGACAATAGATACTAGTGATGAAGTCACGATAAACATCCGTGACCAAGAATTTATATAAAAAAAGACATATCCAGTGCAGTGAGCTTCCGCTCTGTGTGGGGTCTGGGGAAGGGTGTTAGTGACAAGCCTTATCCTCGCCTATACAATGCGAGGAGACCACGACTCAAACCCGTGACCAAGAATTTATATATTGAATAAATATTCTACTATAACAAATCTAACCAGTTAAGTTAAAATTATATATATACTTCATCTGTCCCTAAATGTATGTCGCCATGGTTTACGCGTCGATAAGTTTGACTCGATTTATGAAAAATGTATGCAATATTTGTGTCTCCAAATAAATTTGTTAAAAAACTAGATTCAAATATCTATCGATGATACTAATTATGTCTCATAAATATTATTTTTTTAATATATATTTAATCAAAGTTGTTTCTTGGGAAGCGAAAACGACACATATTTAGGGATAGATGGAGTATATATATGAAAAAGAATCATGACATAGACCTTGTTCGCTTTGCTGAAAAGCCTGACTGAAAATACTGTTCGCTAATCTGTCGCGGGAGAAAAATACTGTTCGTTTTTTAAAATAGCACGGCTCACGGCTCGTAAGATTAGCGAACACGGCATAGTCAATCTCGGTACTTAGCTCGTGTTTAGTTGGGTGAAAGTTGAAAATTTGGCTACTATAACACTTTCGTTTTTATTTAGCAATTAGTGTTCAATCATGGACTAATTAGGCTTAAAACGTTCATCTCGCAATTTTCCACCAAACTGTGCAATTAGTTTTTTTTCGTCTATATTTAATACTCCATGCACATATCGCAAGATTCGATGTGATGACTAATGTAGCATTTTTTAGAAAAACTTTTCGCGAACTAAACAGCCTTAATGCCAAAACCGATACGATTGGGGAGACCGACGCCGACCACGGAAGGGAGGACGCACATGGTAGGCTAGGGCCCACGAAGCTGACGCGAGGGACCCTGCGAAATGGGAGAGGAGCGACATGGCATGGGCCACAACTACGGCGAAACAGATGCGCCCTGTGCAGTGGTCGGTCCCCGTGGCAGTGGCAGTGACAGCCGGACCGCGGACAGGTGAACCCCAGCCTGTTCATTTGTTCGTAAACCATCGCAAATGATATGTCATAATAGTATTTTTCTTTTACACCAAACTAGCTAGTATTACTTTTAACTTATAATCCACGATTGTCAGCCGAAACGAACAGGCTCTCCACAGCCGCCCTTCCCGTTCCTGGCCGACGCGACGCCGGCGCTTTCGCGCGTCGTCGCCGTCGCCGTCGCCGTCGTCTCTATCTCTCGGTCACCGCACAGGGGGTGACGGCGAGAGGCTGACGGCTGGCTGCACCGGCCGGCCAGCCAACCAACCACGCTCCACGTACGCGGACCTGGTGGCGCCACCACCGTACCTGCTGCACTTGCATTTGCATTTGCATTTGCACGCCCAGGATGATGATGCTACACGCGTACGTATACGGTATGTATGTACAAGGAACAAGAAGGCAGCCCAGCCGGCCGGTCGGCGTTGGCGTGGACGTCCACCGTCCATTAACGATCGTACGTCCGTCCGTCCGTCCAAAGAGAATCGCAGCTGCTGGTTCGTTCGACGACTTCAGTTCAGAGGCGGCTACCTCCTCCGATCCCGTCCGCTCTTTTATTTTCTTTTTGACGATCGAGGAGCATCTAAACACCACAAACCATATTATGCAGATCTATAGCACTACAACACAGTTTTGTATATTTGTTATACTTCATCTAATTCTTGTATATATGAATTATAAAAATTATTAAAACTTTTCGTGAAAATGGTAGATGCAAAATATTTTCTCTCTCTATGTCATCGGCGGACAAGAAAAACAAACAAAGATATTTCGAGAGTCGTACTTGAACGGCACGATATGAAGATGCGCAATAAGATTTTACCTACAGCGCATGATGTGGATCGTCACGGAGCACAATAGGCTCGTGTTCGTGTTGTGTAGTCCAAGTCCCGCCTCTGCTTCCGATTCACCACACAGACCGCTTTTTTCCTTCTCTGTTCATGTTGTCCTTCTCTGCCCACCAGCCTCTACCAAACGGTGTATGTATGCGAGGACCTAGAAAGGCTACGGATCCAGCTCACAGATCACCGTTAACACTTGAGTCAGAGTTGAGTACATAGAGAAATTGTGTAGTTACCACCTCACTCAAGCAATAAGTACCGGTTATCATCACCTAAGTTATTGCTGCGTAGTCTATCTTCAATACAAAGTTGGTTCAAATCAGTTAAGGCCCCATTCGGAACGCGGGATTTATTTTTTATTCATGCGTTTTTCTTGTAAAAAATAAACTGAATCCTGTAAAATTCCTATATATTTTTTGTAAAATTTCTGTGTTCCAAAGAAGACCTAAATTTTTAATCTTTGTAATATAGCACTTCCTTACCTCTATTTTTGGCTCCGCTAGAACGACAGGTGAGAGCAGGAGCTAGAGCGGTAGATAATTAATTTGGAGCGGTACTCCATCGACCCTCATCCTCTTCACTACGTGAGCTGCCGTCCAAGGGATGTGACTCGAATTTATTGAATTCGTAGCATCGTATCACACTCGTTGAATTTTCGTAGAAATGGTTTGCATGCAGAGGCAGAGTGACATTATAAGGCGGCGATGGAGGAGACGACGCGGACGTGCCGTCCAAATGGTCCGACGAACGTGCCCATTCCGCCGGCCGACGAACGTACGTGCCGCGATATCTCTGGCTCTGTTTGGTTGGTCTTGAAGCCGCTTGTGCTAATTTGTATGGCTGATTTATTGAGAAAGAAAAATAATATACCATAGCTGATAAGCTGGCTTATAATGGCAGACGAACAGAGCCTTTCACCGTCAATTCCAAACAGGGGCAGATCAAAAAAAAATTGAGTCATTGATGTCATAGTATAATAATCTTACTAAAATCATAGGATCATCTCTTGCACAAGCAGTGTTTACAAGGTAATTTGTCCAAGTTCATTGTTGAACTGTGGCTCCGCCCCTGATTCCAAATCGCGAGGCAGTTCATTGTTGAACTGTGGCTCCGCCCCTGATTCCAAATCGCGAGGCCGGCCGCGCACGCCGTCGTACTCTTGGGCGATCGCCGGAGCTTTCATGTGTCGTGGCAGCACGTGCGGCGTCCCCATACCGCATACGTACGTTTGGATGCATGGCTGAGGCCACCCGGGATCCACGCCTGCCGTGCTATACCGGCCGACAGTCACCAAGGGCGTGATTGGTTACTCCGACATTGGTGATCCGGGATCGGGACCTTGTGCAGACTCTTCCTAGCCATGATGGAAGCATGCAAGTGGGTGTGTTTGGTTGCATCCGAGTACAGGATACCGGATGACCTGCATCGTGTTTGGTTCCCCGTTTGCACCGTTTTAGTGTATGAATTGGTGATTTCAGGTCTTGTTTGGTTGGCCGCATTGCCCCAGGTCTAAGTACCCATGTATGAGTTTGGTGTGATTACCACCAGCTATTGCAGAATGAAGAAGAATATAAGGAAACAGAGATAACTTTGCCTCCGTTCAACAAGCTTGGCATTGACAACGACCTTAGAGCTTCTAATGACATAAATATGACAATAGTACTCCCAGCAAATCATGAACAACAAAAGTCACAGTTCCTTACAAGGTCATTGTCTTTACACGTGTTCATAGCATTTTGAAACCATCACAGGCAATATGAAACAATTAGAGGCACCTACAACAATGCTTAGCAATGAAAAAGTCAAGCATCATCAAAATAAACGACCGAACCAAAGCAATAGTCAGTAACCAAGGTATTTTAAGGCTTCATTGGTTGCCTGAAGCACTGCAAGGAGGCATTTTAGGGCATAGACCCCAGGCTCCTTTCCCCGATAGGCAACATACCAAGCCATGGCATTTTGAGCATCACAGATAGTTGTAGCAACGAGCAAGAACGAACCACAGGAGCACCAGCAACAGAAAAGACTGCGCCACAGCCAC